ATTCTAAACTGTCTTGGATATACCTGTTGAAAATATTAACCATAATCACTAAGTTACATTCTAAACTGTCTTGGATATACCTGTTGAAAATATTAACCATAATCACTAAGTTATATTCTAAACTGTCTTGAATATACCTGTTGGAAATATTAACCATAATCACTAAGTTACATTATAAACTGTCCTGAATATACCTGTTGGAAATATTAACCATAATCACTAAGTTATATTATAAACTGTCTTGAATATATCTTTTTTCAACCAAGTAATAAATATTTTATATCCTTTCTCATTGGTTGATATAATTTTCATTAAATTTAAGTCATTGGGCTTGTAATGCTAAAAATTTGGTTTTGACATCAGAGGTGGGCAGAGCACAAATATCCCATTGTTAACTTTGTGCTTTACAACAAACAAACAAATTAATTTTCATTTTGTAAGTTATCTTATTCAAAACATATATAGTACTTGGTTAATTATACATATTTTTTTGCAGTTGCATTGTTTTTGTTTGTTGTTAAGCATAAAGTTACACAATAGGCTTTCTGTGCTCTGCCCACCATGTGTATTGATACTAAGTTTATAGCAATGTGAGCCGTCAGACTTGCATCTGAGCCACTTGGGGGTGTGTGTAGATCATGTAATCTGATGTGAAGAACCGTTTACGTAACACCAGTTAATGATGTTGCTATTTCCATCTTTAGATGATACAATCTTCTGTTGATCCTAACAACTACCACTGTGGTTTATTAATGCCTCACCTTGCAGCACAGATGTCGCAGCTACAACTTTCAGGAAGTTCAGTAAGATTCTAGTTGTGTGTGTGTGTTTGTGTTACAGTGGGTCTACTAGTTTCATGGATTGCATGCTAAAAACATATATATGTCTGAAAAATTAGATACTCTTTGATAGTCCTCTGAATGTAGGTTGTATTATTGTTTGTAAACAATTCTTCTGTGATTATGGTGTAGTACTACAATTAGGAAGGATGGGTGTTTGTACATATAGCTATTTCATAAGTGTGAAACAATATGTTGATCTTATGTTAGGGTGAGGTAATAGGTCTGTTTGTCAGTTAACTATTCACTAGTGACGATGATGGTCTATGTGTCACAAGGGTCTGTGGGACGCATCTATTAGGTGACAGCAGATCTTTTTACTTGTGTTTTACATAGCAGACCTTTGGTTACCTCTACAAAGGAAGCTTACAAGATAAAAGTATGAAGTTAACTTGCTGTAGCAACGAAGCGTGTAGAATATAATGCTGACGATAATAACTTGTTTTCTTGACATTGTGGAACTTAATGCTTAATTACTTTGACACTAGGAGGTGCTTATGCCAGCTCTAATGTCATGTTACACTTCAGCCAGTAATATACTTAATGTTGTAGTTATTAAAACCAGAACTGTGATTATTGTAAAAGATGCTGTTATTGTATTTTCAATTGGTTTATTTAATTCATTAGGTTTCTAACTAAACACTAATTCAAATTAATAGAGGTATTTTTAACTAAGGTTTTTTTTTCTTTCTGATATATATATATATATATATATTATCAAATCAAATGTTCTGTTCTCTATTAAAGTATATTCCATTTCTATATTTTTCACTCTAGTATGTTACAGGGGCTACCTCACAAGCTGCTCTCTATCCTCAACATACACAGCTAGTCCAGCAGCTTCACTTACCAGAGGTAAGTAATGATTATGATAACAGTGATTCCCTGTCACACAGCTTCACTTACCAGAGGTAGGTAATGATTATGATAACATTGATTCCCTGTCACACAGCTTCATTTACCAGAGGTAAGTAATGATTATGATAACAGTGATTCCCTGTCACACAGCTTCATTTACCAGAGGTAAGTAATGATTATAATAACATTAATTCCCTGTCACACAGCTTCATTTACCAGAGGTAAGTAATGATTATAATAAAAAGTAATTCCCTATCACATCCACTACAAATTAAGGGATTTTGTCATATAATACATATCTATTAATTAAGTTCGAAACAAAATCAAACATGTTTCAAAAATCGGTATATAATTATCATTTTCCAGTTTTTAAGACTAGGAGAGAATGTATCGCATGTGATATGAGATGGCAGGTTTATTTAATTAGGCATTACTTGGGGGAAAACCCTTTTGTGTGGGTATGTCAAATGTTTTTCTTGTTTGACAATGCCCTTGATTTTCCAAACAATATCCAAGTAAAATAACTATTTAACATTTCGAACTACTAGTTATATCACGAACTACTAGTTATATTACGAACTACCAGTTATATCACGAACTACTAGTTATATCACGAACTACTAGTTATATCACGAACTACTAGTTATATAACAAACTACTAGTTATATCACGAACTACTATTTATATCACAAACTACTAGTTATATCACAAACTACTAGTTATATCACAAACTACCAGTTATATCACAAACTACCAGTTATATCACGAACTACTAGTTATATCACAAACTACTAGTTATATCATCAAAGTTAGCATCCTATAAGACATTCAAATCATATACTGAAACTACATTTTTTATCGAGTAATAAAAAAGTTCATATGAAGTTCTGACCTAAGGCAAGCTATCTACATAAATCATAACTAAATATATATAAATCTACTAATGAGCATAGCTAATTAAATATAATGTTCAATGTATATTACTTATAATGACTAGAATAAGTTGTTTCCTCAGTCCACTGTTAACGATATTTTCAGACATAAACCCAATAATATCACTTAAAAGGCAAGACTAAAGTGCAAAGAAATAATTAAGATACCAAAAATAACTAGTGAGTTTGATTTTTGTTTATTGACATAGTTCGTGGAAACAAGTTGAATAATTTATTTTAATTCATATAAGTAAAGAACAGATCAACATCTTTTGAACTAAAAAAACATTCAGTTAGTTAGAGCATGATAACCAAAAACATTACTGGTCAGAACAGAATTTTCTTGTCTCTTGCTTGATTCTGTTACATGGCTCATGAAGCTGGAACAGTTTTAGATGAAGAGCAAATCATAAATGTCTTGGAGGACAATTATTTTTTGGTAAAATATGTATCAAGTTTTTAGTATATTAATTAGTATTATTGCAATTACATAAAGCAAATCTCTGTTTCTTGGTGAACCTGATTCTAGGATCTTAGTATGCCAGTTAGCATACAGGCAGGTTTGACTGAGGACCAACAGAACTATTCATGGTGACAGTCCTCCTAACATTTGGTAAGTAATATTACGGCAACTTTTCAAATTTACACATAGTTTGCAATATATATATATTTACAGTTTTTGACTTAATATAAAACAGATGGTAATAAAGAACCAATGACTTCAGTATGTACAAATACACATTACTAGTAGAAATGAACCATTTATGTAGCTAGTGTGGTTCCAAATCAGAAGATCTTTCACCTGGTTCTCAGAAATTAATATTAACCCATCTACTGCTGCTGGTACATATATGGCCTTTAAATTATTTTATGTTCACCGTGACTGGTATACATATGGATTCTTGTTTTTAAAAACTTGATGCGAAATGTTGGATTGTAATGTTGTCTATCGACATTCCACTGTTTGTTGCCTTACAGTAAGTCGATTATTTCTACCTTCTATGCGTCAGTTTCTTTCAAGATGTCAGAGATGGCAGCATCTCGCTGCCACAGCACCAAGTGCTGCTGAAAATCCAGATTATATTATGGATTTACCAGATGGCATCGACTCTGAGTTGATGGAGTGAACAGAAAATATTTGTTCCAGTCACAGTGAATGGATTAAAGGTATAATTTGCACCAGTCACAGTGAATGGATTAAAGGTATAATTTGTACCAGTCACAGTGAATGGATTAAAGGTATAATTTGGACAAATTATACCTTTAATCCATTCACTGTGACTGGTAGTCAGTCACAGTGAATGGATTAAAGGTATAATTTGACAAATTATACCTTTAATCCATTCACTGTGACTGGTACCAGTCACAGTGAATGGATTAAAGGTATAATTTGTACCAGTCACAGTGAATGGATTAAAGGTATAAAAATTGAAATGAATTCTTCCTTTTTTGAGTTTCTAGAACTTTAAAAATATAAATCTCCAATTTTTTTTTCTGCTTTTAGAACTCACCTGAAAAGGAGCAAGATGGATTAACTATGAAAATGAAACTGGTACGCCAAACTACTACAAACATGACATCACTTGTGTTAAATGAGAAGTTTTAAAGAGGTAAAGGGTTTCGTACACGAGACGTCTATATTTTACTACTTATTGCAGATGGTATTTTTTTAAAATTGACAGTCCGTTTATTTAGATTTTTTACTCTAATAAATGATGTGCTGGGTCATTAGTTACTAACTTAATGATGTAGGATGTGTAGAAATAATTCAAACACGATATTGGTCCTTTCACTGTTTAGTAAGATGTTAAATTATTCCCAATATATTGTTTATGTGTTCTTCAACAATTATTGTCAAGAAGCAAATTGAACCCCTGATCCATTTTTCAAGCTATTTGTTGTAACTTCTAGGGAAGGAGCAACGGCTTCTGTATATATTATAAAATAAAACAGTTGGGGCTAAAAGATTTATTTCTAGTTGATTGACACACAAGTCTCCCAACTTCTGCACCATTCTGCTTTAAGAGATTTTAAGGATTCTTTTAGAAAATAAGTTAAATGATGACGAGCATCTCATCTAAATTTCTGTTATTTACTTTTAATTGTTACAGTTCTAGTTTCAAATGTTAATGATTGCATGAAAAAGTCCATTGTTCACTCATTTGTTACTTGGATTTTATGGATTATAACTACACACAGAACTGGAGATTTCTGTTATTTACTTTTAATTGTTACAGTTCTAGTTTCAAATGTTAATGATTGCATGAAAAAGTCCATTTTTTACTCAGTTGTTACTTGGATTTTATGGATTATAACTACACACAGAACTGGAGATAGATAAAAGTTTCGTGGGTGAGATTCATCACAATCTGTACCTTGTAAGATTGAATAGGAAAAAAATACTTATTACACAGAGACAGAAGCTGAATGAAAGGATTGGTCGGTTTATATTTCATCAAGGCTTGCCATTTTTTTTACACCTTATCTTTATAGTCACTACTGCCCTCACAAGAACAGTTGAAGCAGTAAGGTAGTATCTCGAGACAATTCCTGTCCTACATCAAAGAAAAAAATCTTTTAAGTCTTTTCCATGTTTCCTAAAGTTTCTTTTTCATAAACACAAACATTAAATTAGTTTTTAAAAGTTCTGTATGTCTTAATAATGTAGAGAAAAATATTGTAGGAGACACATTCAATATTGGAAAAGAAGTTAGTTATGTACGTTATTAGCTTACTTAAAAAAAAAAGAGGGAAAAGGAACACCGTGCTGGGACTAATTACAGAAGCTAAAAGTCACGGGTAGATGAAACTTTAAATTACAAAATGTGATTACAAATGCATTCATCAACACAAATGTCAGCTTAATTAACGCAAGCTATCTACTCAACTCAAAACCCAAAAATCAATCTAGCAATGAATCTAGATATACTATTCTTATGCTCCTGCTTATAAACATAATAATGGGTTGTTTCATCATTTGTCTACCCTCACTGTTAACTATTTTTGGGCATAAATCAAATGTGTTCAACTTGGTGTAGTTTGTACACTCATTACGGTTTACTTAACAGTCCATTCTTTTTAAAATATCATGGACAGCTACTTAATCGTGTGAAAAATTATCTTTAAAAAATAATTTCTGACTGTCTAGTTCAGTATTTTTCACTAAACAATTCATGAAAATAACATAACTTTGGAATTGTTAATGTCTATGACAAGTAGTTTATTTAACTCATTTATAGTGTTAATTTGTATTCCAGAAAATACTGTACAAACTAAGGCTTATGTTGGATGATATGACAAATGGCAGCAAGTTAGACTCTATTATCTGTGGTTAATTATAAAACGAATACAACTATACTTGTCATAAAGTCAAACCACTGGACATCTGCGACAGCATTACGTGTTGAATGTTAGTTTCCAACCTTTATGTAGTTTGCTATGTAATCGCATGTTGAGATAACCTTGGTAGCTTCGGCGGTTTAGGCTCTTTATCTTTATTAATGGCCATTTTGGATAATATAATGTGAAATATTTTCATGTTGATAAAAAATAATTCACAACCTGAGTCGTGGTTTTCAACTATTCCTAAAAATTATTTGAAACCGGAGTAAAGTAGTAATAAAACTTTGTACAGTGATGCGACCCGGTGGTAACATACGACCAAGAATAAGTTTGTAGCTTAAAACGGATAATTATCTTCTGTTTTGAATCTCGTACATTGTTTATATGCACATAATTATTTGACAGTTTGCAATAAGCAGTTTAAATTATTTTGTTTAGATTGTTAGTGATAGAATTTGTGTGAAAAATATTGTCTTTCTTAAAAAGAGAGAGAGAAAAAAGGACTCTACAAAATGTAGCACATCTTTCTTAATAAATAATAATTTAAACACTTTTATGTTGTTCGTGCTCTCACACAAGACTTTGAACCACATTCTCATTTCTAAGGAGATTTTAAAATTATTTGCACAAAATGCAAGTGATGCGTATCTTCGTAAGTAGGATTTGTAGTTTGGTCATATACCTTAATCATAACTATACTCGAAATTTGGATTATATTTTGTTTCAACAGGTTAAAAATCTTTAATAGATATATTAATATCCAAGCTTGAATTTTAATAATTAAAATACTGAGAAACATAATCATTCACGAATTGGAAATACGTTTCATTTTAACCTGTAATGATACAGTAAGTCACTAATATTTCAGTTGATTTATTGTACAACTAAAAATATCACTTGCCAGTAAATAGGTGTGCTAATCTCGACAGATTTAGGTACGGAACAAACCTGAAAATATTACTTTTAGATTAAAACTTTTGCTAATTTTTGTGTTCAAATCAAAGGAAAACGAAGGTTATTATTTATTTTGTCCATGTTGTCTGTTAATTTATGGAAAATATATTCTAAACAAACATTATTTTACCTTATTATAAATAACAGTTAAAAGTTGAGAGTTTGCTAAAATACCACTTATATTTTCTTGTACTATAAGATCAGATTAAGGCCCAAATGATTTGGGTTTAGGTGTGTGTATACCTACATTTAGAAAAGTTGAGGAACTTCTTTCATCTTGAAAGTTCATTATATTTCAAAATAGTTTTCCCTTTATACATTCATTTTTCATGACATTTTGAGTAAAAATAATAATATTAATAAAGTTAAATGCACTATGACATGTTTGTTATGTTTTGAATTTCGCACAAAGCTACATGAGGGCTATCTGCACTAGCCGTCCCTAATTTAGCAGTGTAAGACTAGAGAGAAGGCAGCTAGTCATCACCACCCACTGCCAACTCTTGGGATACTCTTTTACCAACAAATAGTGGGATTGACCGTCACATTATAACACCCCCACGGCTGAAAGGGCAAGCATGTTTGGTATGACGGGGATTCTAACCCGCGACCCTCAGATTGCGAGTCGAGTGCCCTGGCCATGCCGGGCCTAAATGCACTATGACATGTTTGTTATGTTTTGAATTTCACGCAAAGCTACACGAGGGCTATCTGCACTATCCGTCGCTAATTTAGCAGTGTAAGACTAGAGAGAAGGCAGCTAGTCATCACCACCCACTGCCAACTCTTGGGATACTCTCTTACCAACAAATAGTGGGATTGACCGTCACATTATAACACACCCACGGCTGAAAGGGCAAGCCTGTTTGGTATGACGGGGATTCAAACCCGAGACCCTCAGATTGTGAGTCGAGCGCCCTAACCACCTGGTCATGCCGGGCCTAAATGCACTATGAAATGATTAGGTGTATATTGGAATGATACTTTTGACAGTAAAGTTTGTAAATTATCCAGGTATTTAAGTGTCATAACTGTTGGTTTTTCTTTTAACCATATATTACAGAAAGCTACACACTAGACTGACTAAATGTTATTGGTTATTAAAAATTAAGATTCCCATTGATGATTGTATAGCTCAACAAAAAGTTACTTGAAGAAACACGTCTTCCTTGTTTTTCGTAATTCAGGCGTTTTATTTTACGAACAACTGTAATTGATCTGTATTTATTCTGTTTAAACCGACAAGAAGCGAAAACATTAATGGTATCTTGGAAATTAGAATTTCATAGGAATGATCTTATAACCATTAGAAAAATACACAGGGAGAGGGCTTTCTCTAGTTAAGATTTACCATTTCGATAAATCTTAAAACTGAAACTCGAGTACAAGTAGTAAGAATAGGGTAATTGAAATAATTTACCCTGAAAGTTGGATTTTCATAAATGAAAATTTGAATACTAACATATTTTGTTTACATCTTTTTTTGTTTCTTGGTGCAAGATGGTATCAAACTCAATGGAATGAATGTTTCTTTAATAGCTTGTTATTACATGGCTGTATGTGCTCTTAAGATCAGCTTAAAAAGTTCAAGCCCAAGTCTGTAAATACAATGTACAGAAAGCAGATCTCTTGGTATTATAAACTTTGGTGTTTCAAGAGATTTTATTCATGCGAGATTAGAGGCTCAATGGTACAGATTCATTGAAGGAATTTTTTCTGCCAAAGCCTTTTTTTGTTTGAATATGTTGTGCAAGAAAAAAGGGTACGAGTACATTGTACAAAAAAAATATTTCTTAAACGCTTTCATTTAACTACAAATACAGAAATGAAAAATATTTCAAAAAAAAGGTTGCAACAGGAATATTTTGTCATAAATAATTATTGTTAAACCCCATTCAGAGGTTGTCTTGAGGTTCAAATGGCTCCATTATTGTTCATGAAAGGAGTTGAACAGTAACGAAATCCGGAAACTTGTTGATAACAAGTCACAAATAAAATTGACTGGACGGAAGTCGTTTTTTGAATGGCAAGAAGAGAAATCTGAAGCAGTTAATGGGTTAATATTGTTAAATGTCTTTTATTATTAGAGACAAACACTACCTATAATAGCATCTTACTTTGTTCATAATTGAAACAGCTATGATTACAGAGACCTGTTGATTGTGAGAACATTATTGTTATTAAAACAAAAAAAGAAGAGGCTGAACATCACGGGTTAATTTAAAGAGTAACTGGTATGTTTTATACTTAAATTTTATATACTACTGGAAAGAATTTGTTTATATTTTTATGTCCAATAAAAAATAAATTTCAAACATTCATACAACACTGATTTCTTGAAACTTTACATAACACACAGAACAAAAGCTTATATTTGAAATTTAATCCCCCCCCCCATCACACACACACATGGAAATATAACAGTACTGAACCCTCGTATTTAAACAATAAAGGGTTCCTTTTACATATGGTCACATACACGTTTTTGAGTTTATTAAATTTCTAAATGATGTGGAATATTCATTCAGATATTGGAAGGTGATGTTTAATATAACACTACATAATAATTTCGATGTTAAAATATAAAATAACATTTTTCCAAACTCACTTCATTTTTACCGATGGATTGTACAATTTACCTTTGAATAACATAATATACGAGAACATATTCCTCTTGATGTTTATCAAAACGGCAACTATTTCTGTTGACAAGACCCAATATTGATGGAATTCACCGTTTAGGTGTGAAAATATAAATGGTTAAAACTGCTGTGAAAAATGTGGCCAAATGACCTTCCACTGGGACCCAGTTCATTTTGTCGATGTTGTTTACACTTCTGTCCCTGCCTCTTACAGCAAATTTAAGCATTTCTTTATATTTTCAAGTGTTATCATACTTTTATTTGTTATTTTTAAGCTGTATGTCTCTGCTTTAATTTATTTAACAAAATATGTTAGTGGCAAAAGTTTATCCAACACCTTTCTAAAATTAAGAGATAGTAACATGCACGTAGTAAGGATTCAATAAATGATTAAAACACATTGAAATGAGCTTTGAAAGGCTGAACATTTTTATTTGTTTCTTCTTTTTAGTTTATATATTTTTCTAGCAATATATATAACAACCTGAAGGGCAGTTTTAACATTATGTTATAAAAAATGAACTAACATAAGTCATTATTGCTTAAAGATAATTTTACAAAATGTTTGTACTGGTCTTATACTTTTAAAGCCAACAATTAGCAACAAAACATTTAAAGGATTTACAAAACATATACAAATTGTGCTTGGAGATAATTAAACAAAAGTTTTAGCAAAAAACATTTTAATTGTTTTAGTTTTATGTTTATATATATATATATACACAATTAAGTGCTTTTCTTAAATATTAAATGGTGTCCATAAGCAAGCACATTAAAACTAAGTTAGACACCTTCAGTATCAGAATTTACTTCTACTATCACAACTATACGCACTTAATAAAGATATGTGAAACTAGACTTATAAAAATCAACAACATACAGTCGTTAACCCATAACATTACTGAGTTTACTACTCAAACAAGATAGACTTTATCAAAAACTTCAATAAATATATAAAAAGAGATTGTACTTCAAAGAAAACCACTGTTTCAAATCTTCATTAATAAACACGTTATCGTTTATAAGCTACTTAATATTCATCTTTCACGTAAACAGGTCGGAGTATGATACAGATTAGGTACAGGATTGTAAACCGTGAAACTATGTTGTAACCCTAATTATACTTGTCATAAGACATTAGTATTAGGCCTATTATATTTCTTAACACTACATTCTTTATTCAGTTCCCGATGTTTTATCGAGAAGAAGAAGAGTGTATAATATTATTTCAACCCTAAGAAGTTGAACAAGGAATGTAACATTAAAAAACATAAGAGGCTTAATACTAATTGTCTTATGACAAGTATAATAAATCACAATCATAGTTTTCCAGCTTAGAAAAGGGATTCACCATTTTTTAACCCACCCCCCATTTTTTTTACAAGTACATTTTAAATGTATATGTCAAATTTGGAAGCTTATTTCAACACAAGAGATGAAAAGGAAGTAACACTAGTGTTTATGTTGGATTTGATGATCTAGTGTTCTCAATATTGTTCATACAACACGATGCTAAGCAATTTTCTATACATCCCAATTTGCAAGTCTTGAAAAAAATCTAAAGTAGGCAGTTCATAATACCAATATTACACGATTTAATTTATTCAAATACATAATTAAGTGAACATAAAGATGTAGCTACTTTCTTTACGAACTGTCCCCATGATCTAAAAAAAAGTGTGTGAAATAAAACATGCTGCTAATAGGCCCAAGTAGATGTCTTCGTAACT